TCCGTCATACGGGTGATGGGAAACAGGGATGCAGGGTCAGCCCTGGGGGTCTGCTCGCTCCCAGGGTCTGACCCCAGGGTACCACGATCCAGGCGCCACCCATAGACCCAGCTCTGTCCCCTCCGTGGCTCCCCATCCTGGTTTCGGTGGGTTTGGAATCCTTCTTGCCACCGTGACCCCTTCCCAGTTCTCCCATCACTGTGGGGAGCATGGGGACACCCGGTCCTGCAGTGGCCCTTGGGCGCAGGCTGAGCCTTGAGGTCCCAAATTCCTGCTTCCCATCACCCAGACATGAGGTCCATCCCTGGTTTGGGGGTGAGAGGAGATGGGGGGTGCTCGAGTGTAGATGAGGCTGGGAATGGTTGGGAATGAAGGACAGCGATGGGGACATAGGAAGAGGAGGATGGAGCTGTGTGTTCCTGATACAAGGTGTCGCTGCACCTTCAGCATCCCCTTCCCGCAGCCCATGGGTGCACCAGGGTGCAGGATGGGCCCATGAGCTTCCCCCCCACTGTGTCCAGGGATGAAACCAAAGGCAAAATCGGGATGGGAACAAAAGGAATCCAACAATCCAAGCTCCGGGCCCAGCCAGACCCGCACTGATGGGAATTAGCAGCGTGCCTGCTGCTCCTTCACGCGTGGGTTGGCTCCCACAAAGGGAGCAGGGAGGGATTAAATGTGCGGAAGGCGGTCATGGATCACATGGAATCAATGCCAGGCGGCAGCAGGAGCTGTTGTTGGGTGATGCTGAGGTGATGCAGCTACATGGAGCCACGCAGATAATCTTGTCCGGGAACAAGCCCCAAGGGAGAGCGGGATTGGTGGCACCCTGGAACACCCTGTCCCACGGGATGGGGGTTCCGTGGGGCAGGGGATGCCTTTGGGATGGCCCTCAGGGGTAAAACCCACTGCTTGGGGGTTGGGCTCAGCCCTGTGCTTTAATAGCATCCCCAAGCTAACACTGAACTGGGGACCCACTTACACATCATCCCCCCAAAGGCATCAGGAGCATTTTCCAATTGGTGGGAAAAAGCAGGGATGAGCTTTCCAGGGATGGCAGATGGACTTGGTGGCCATCTGAGCTGCAGAAGGGACCTGGAGCATCCCTGCTCATCCCTGCCGCATCCCCTAAGCATCCCTGTCCACGTGGTGGTTTGACTCTGGTCCCCAAGCTGCAACAAGCTCCCAGCTGTTTCTTCCCATCAGGTTGAGGCAGGGAAATCCCTGTGGAAGCCATCAGGGTCCCTTGGAGCAGGGATGTGGATGGGCAGCGTGTTCCAGATGCACCCAAGCCTGCAGGTTTCGTATCACCCAGGGAGTGGTGCCTTGGGGATGGGCGCATTGGACTCTTCCCCACAGCTGGAAGTGATGCTGTGATGGGACAGGGATGTTGATGGGGATAATCCCATCCCTTGGAGCATCACATCCCACTGCAGCCACACCAGTGCCACAGCACCAACCCCTTCCCACAGCGTCCCCCATTGCCACCCTGCGGTCCCTTGGGATGCACCAGGGCATCTCCCCATGCTGGTACCAACCCTGGGGATGCAGGAATTGGGATCAGAACCCCACAGCAGGGCCGAGATCGATGGAGTTTGCTGTGTAAGAGGTGCCAATGAGGGTTTGTCACCAGTGGGGACACGCATGTGGCACATGGGGCTGGCGCTGCCGAGGCTCCAGGTATCCATGGAAACCTCCTGGCAGGATGCTGAGCCGATAAATAGCCAATTTAAGGTGATTTTCCTCAAAGAGGGTTTTTTTTAATGTGTCTTGAGCGAGTCTCAGTGGCGTTTTTGGCTTTCCTCCTTTCATCAGGATGGAGTTCTCCTCCATGCTCCGTTCAGGGCTGCACGATGCTGGGTGAGGGTGGCTCAACACAGATCCTTGTGGCACGTGGGACAAAGCGGGTTTATCTTGGTGGCAGTAAGGAGGGAACTGGGATGGGTCGGTTCAGTGGGTGCTGATTCCAACCTGGGCTCTATTTACCTGCATACACCGGGACGGATGAATGTGTGTGTTGGGATGGAATAGGTTGGGATGAAGGGACCTTAAAGCTCCTCCAGTCCCAGGCAGGGACCCTTTCCACTGGAGCAGCTTGCTCCAAGCCCCTGTGTCCAATAGGACAGGGTCAAACACAGCACGAGCCCAGGTAGGAGACACCCGTCCTGCTTCCCTTCCCCACCGACACCACAGCATCCTCCTGCTCTGTCCTCTTGGGAGGCTCCCAAGGGATGGAGCAAGGGGAAATGAATGGGGATTTTCAAGCCCTGCTGACCCACGTCCACCCCAGGAGGTGACATCCACCCCGTGTGCAGGAGCTCTGACCCCAGCCTTGTGCTTCATCCTCATGGCTGAGGAGGAAGAGCCGCTCCTGCTCCTTTAAGGCTCCAAACCCGGTTCGGCTGCAGGATCAACCCCTCCGCAGGGAAAAGAGAGGCCGGCGCTGTGCTGAGTCAGCAGTTCTGCCTGGCTGCGTGTCCCACCTGGCACACGTGTCCCTGGGGACCCCATCCTGCTCCCTCAGCCCCGGCCAGGGATGCAGCGCGGATGGGTCCGTGTTGCCAAGCCGGGAGCATCACCGCCGGCAGGAGTGGCTGACTGAGATTGAAGGCTCTGTCACAGTGAAATGGGTTCAGATTGACGTGCTTTAATGGAGAAGGACAAGGCCAGCTCCTCGCAGCAGCCCCGGTGACAAGGGAGGGTGAGGAGCCCGGGCCCTGCATCAGCATCCCAGAGCATCCTTCCCTGTGCCAGACCCACACACCTGGATGCAGCAGCACCAGTTGCATCCATCGATGCTGCCGGCGGGGATCTGGGAACTGCCTGTACTGGGAGCAGATCCCACCATGCTCATGGATGGAGGAGGCATGGGGCTGTCCCACAGCATCACCCTGTGGGCCAGGGGGGAGCGGCTCTTCCCTCCTGTATCCCTCGTCCCAAGCAGAGCACAGGCCCTGGGGGTTCTTCCAATTGGGAAAGGCCCCATTTGACTCCTCCTTCTGCCACCCAGCTCCAGTTGGCTTTGGCCATGGCTCCTTTCTCTGCTCTGGCCAAGCCAAGCCAAGGGCACCCATCCAACGTCTCCTTCTCCACCCCACAAGGTGCTGAGCCCCTGACCCCCAACACCAAGCCCCCACCGCTGCCAGCATCCCACGGGAGTCAGAAGTGGATCCCCCCATCCCTACGGATCCCAGCACCCAGTCCATGGGGAGCAATTCCCTGGGGCACAGCCCCCCCCCCCGCACCCCCTTTCCCTCCTGAGCCTTTATTTAGGATCTCAAGTCCCTTTATATTCCCTAAGGAGCCTGGAGCAGCGAGTGGGAGGCTGCTGGGGAGGGAGGAGGGAGCACGGGACGGGATAAACGGCTTCAAGCAGCGCTGTCCTTCCCCTGCTCCATCACTTCATGCTCCTAACCCCCTCCAAGGGGCTCTTCTCCCCCTTTCCCACCACCAGGAGCCGCTTTGGAAGTGATTTGAGCTCTGGAATGCTGGGGGGGGGGGGAGCCTCGGGGTGGGAATTGGGGCTGGGGCTTGAATTGTCAACAGGTTTCCCCAAACCCTTCCCCAGGCTGAGCCCCATTTAGGATGGCAAAGCCGGGAGCAGCGGGAGGTGATGCTTCTCCATGCCCAGCTGCCCTTTGGTAGCATTCCAAGCGTGGAGGCGGCTGATTGAATATAAAGAGGGACCGGGAGAAGGCAGGAGGGAAGGGAAAGGAGGGGGGATAGAACACGAGAGCCTGACTAAAGGCAGTGACAGGTTAATGGGGCTGCTGATGAAATAATGAATGCTCCGAAGTCGGCTGGAGTGCGGCTGCGGCTCTATTGAATCCGGGCATGGATCAGCTGCCGAGTCCATCACCCAGGAGCAGGGCTGAGCTGTCACGGGTGCGGGATGCACACGAGGGGACCCGTGGGGACAAGGCCTGTGGGTGCCGTGGGGTTGGAGCATCATCCGCTGGCATTGCCTGCATCCGTCTTGGGGTACCCGTGGGGACAAGACCTGTGGGTGCCGTGGGGTTGGAGCATCATCCGCTGGCATTGCCTGCATCCGCCTTAGGGTACCCGTGGGGACAAGGCCTGTGGGTGCCGTGGGGTTGGAGCATCATCCGCTGGCATTGCCTGCATCTGCCTTAGGGTACCCGTGGGGACAAGGCCTGTGGGTGCCGTGGGGTTGGAGCATCATCCGCTGGCATTGCCTGCATCCGCCTTAGGGTACCCGCGAGGAGGAGGGGGAACATGGGGTAGAGGCAGAGGCTCGTGCCTGGGTGCATGAGGCTGCCCCATTGCCTGCACCCAGGGCTGGCAGCACCCAGGGGTGGGATGGATGGAGCCTCCTTTATATACAGAGGCGGGAGGTGGCTGGCAGAGGGTGCTGAGCCTGCGCTGTGCCACCTCGGTGGTGGGGTTTGCCTGGCATTCACCAGATCCGTGTGTCCAGCCCACGATGCTCCTGCCATCGCCAAACCATGGCGAAGGGCAGGGATGCTGCTGGCTCGGCCCCATGCTAGGAGCTTCCACACCTTGGGAAGAGGCACCTGGATCCTGCTACAACAGAGCTATAGAATCATGGAATCAACCGGATTGGAAGGGAGCTTCAAGACCAAGTCCAATCATCACCCCAACACAGCCACCACTGCCCCATGGCACTGAGGCCTCGTCTCCACGGGGTGTGAGGTGCCTGCAGCCCTGCCCTGGGCAGCCTGTTCCAATGCCTGAGCACCCTCTGGGGCAGGAATTGTTCCTCAGCTCCATCTAAACCTGCCCTGGGGCAGCTTGAGGCCGGTTCCTCTTGTCCCATCCCTTGTTCCTTGGGAGCAGAGCCCAGCCCCTCCTGGCTCCATCCTCCTCTCAGGCACTTGTAGGCAGCCATCAGGTCCCCCCTGAGCCTTCTCTTCTCCACACTGAACCCCCCAGCTCCCTCAGCCCTTCCCCATCACACCCGCTCCTCACGTCCAGCCCCCCCAGCTCCTGTTCCGCGGGCAGTTTCCAGCCGCAATTCCGCAGCTCTGGAATGCCGCAGGGCTCGGAACGGCCCTCACGTGCCGGAGCAGCCCCGGGCAGGGAGCTGAGGAAGCTCTTTGTAAATGACTCTGCAGTTAATCACCGTGTGCGCGGCATCACACGCGCTCGCCCCCGCTCTGCTATACATAGAGCGAGCGGAGGGAGGCTCCAGCCAGCCCGCTCCCGAGGGGCGGCAGCTTCATCCCATGGGATGAGCGTGGAGGGGAAGCGAGCCCCACATCTGCCGCTGTGGGAGCCGGGATGCTGCAGGAGCTGTTGGCGTCGACGCTGGGCTCAGCCCCACGGATGCAGCTCATCGCTCGGAGCATCTTCTCCGTGCTCAGAGGCCCTGCGGGTACCAGGCGTGTGCTCAGGCACTAACACGCGTGTAAACACCGTGTGCGCGTGGAGGGGACGTGCGAACGGAGGGGCACAAGCGTGTGCGGGCACGGACACGGAGCAGGCGTGAAGATGGAGCACATGTGGAACACGGGGCACAGGGCGGGCACTGAGGGCAGGTGTGAGAGCAGGCACGGAGCACATGCTGCAGCACTGAGGACCTCGGCACACACTGCATGCACTGAGCGTGCATTGAAGGCACTGAACACGTCAGCACACGTTGCATGCACTGAGCGTGCATTGAAGGCACTGAACACGTCAGCACACGTTGCATGCACTGAGCGTGCATTGAAGGCGCTGAACACGTTAGCACACGTTGCATGCACTGAGCGTGCATTGAAGGCACTGAACACGTCAGCACACGTTGCATGCACTGAGCGTGCATTGAAGGCGCTGAACACGTTAGCGCACGATGCATGCACTGAGCATGCACTGAACACGTTAGCACACACTGCATGCACTGAGCGTGCATTGAAGGTGCTGAGCATGTTGCATGCACTGAGCATGCATTGAAGGCACTGAACACAGCACATGTTGTATGCACTGAGCACCCATTGAAGGCGCTGAACACGTTAGCACACGTTGCATGCACTGAGCATGCATTGAAGGCGCTGAACACGTCAGCACACGTTGCATGCACTGAGCGTGCATTGAAGGCGCTGAACACGTCAGCACACGTTGCATGCACTGAGCGTGCACTGAAGGCACTGAACACGTCAGCATACGTTGCATGCACTGAGCATGTGCTGCAGACACTGAACACGTTAGCACACGATGCATGCACTGAGCACATGCTGCAGCACTGGGGACCTCGGCACACACTGCATGCACTGAGCGTGCATTGAAGGCACTGAACACGTTAGCACATGTTGAATGCACTGAGCATGCATTGAAGGCGCTGAGCACGTCAGCACACGTTGCATGCACTGAGCACCCATTGAAGGCGCTGAACACGTTAGCACACGTTGCATGCACTGAGCATGCATTGCAGGCACTGAACACGTTAGCACACGTTGCATGCACTGAGCATGCATTGCAGGCACTGAACACGTTAGCACACGTTGCATGCACTGAGCATGCACTGAAGGCACTGAGAATAAAACGCACACATGGAGCTTGTGTTGCATGCTCTGAGCATGTCACAGGCACCGAGCACAGGTTGCATGCACTGAGCATGCATTGAAGGCGCTGAACATGTTAGCACATGTTGCATGCACTGAGCATGCATCGAAGGCGCTGAACACCTTAGCATACGTTGCATGCACTGAGCATGCATCGAAGGCACTGAACACGTTAGCACATGTTGCATGCACTGAGCATGTGCTGCAGACACTGAGCACATGTTAGCACGTTGCCTGCAGTGAGCACGCATTGCAGAGACCAAACAGGCACTGCACGCACTGAGCAAGCACTGCAGATGCTGAACATGTGTTGCAGACACTGAGCATGCATTGCATACACAGAGCACACATTGCATACACGGAGCACATCCTGCAGATGCTGACCACGTGTTGCATGCACTGAGCACACATTACATGCACAGAGCACGTGTTGCATACCTGGAGCACGTACTGCAGACATTGAACATGTGTTGCATGCACCGAACACGCATTCCAGACCTCATTCCCCAGCACACACGGGTTCCTGCCCTCCATCTGCACCCCTGGCAGAGCAGCCCCAGCGCTGCGGGTGATTGACATCTGTCACCCGTGTGTGTGACTGACACACGTCACCCGTGTGGGGCTGACATCTGTCACCCCCCATGAGTCACTGCCCAACCCCGGGGGGATCAGAGCAACGGGGAGGTGGAGGGACACCCGCACCAAGGGACACTGCAGGGAGCTGCACTCCAGCATCCTCCCATTGCTGCATCCCTGCATTGCTGCATACCCCCCACCGCAGCATCCCTGCATCCCCACATCCCTGCATCCCCACATCCCACATCCCTGCATCCCCACATCCCTGCATACTATATCCCTGCACCCTGCACATCCACATCCCTGCATCCCTGCACCCCAGCATCCCTGCATCCCCACATCCCACATCCCTGCATCCTCACATCCCATCATCCCTGCATCCCCACATCCCTGCATACCATATCCCTGCACCCTGCACCTCCACATTCCTGCATCCCTGCACCCCAGCATCCCTGCATCCCCACATCCCACACCCCTGCATCCTCACATCCCAGCATCCCTGTATTCCTGCATCCCACATCCCTGCACCCTGCACCCCCACATCCCTGCATCCCTGCACCCCAGCATCCCCACATCCCACACCCCTGAATCCTCACATCCCAGCATCCCTGCATCCCCGCATCCCTATATTCCTGCATCCCTGTATTCCTGCATCCCACATACCTGCACTCTGCTTCTCCACATCCCTGCGTCCCCATGTCCTATCATCCCTGAATCTCCACGTCCCAGCACCCCTGCATTCCTGCATCCCACATCCCTGCATCCCGCATCCCCACATCCCTGCACCCTCGCATCCTCACATCCCTGATTCCCAGCATCCCTGCAGCCATGGGTTTAGTGTGCATTTGGCATCACCCATCACCTCCCCAGCACCCAGCGGGTGCACCCAGGCCCACCCCGCTGCACCCATGTGCTCTCAGCTCCCGCTGTCCCCATCCCAGCCGCAGAGACCAGGACACGTCGCTTCCCAAAGACCTTTAATGCCATGGAGAGATTAGGACAGCGGCCGGATGCCCCCAGTCTGGGGGTACAGAGGCTCGCGATGGCCTGCCCATGGAGGGGACCCTGGCAATGGGGCACCCCCTCTCTAGGAGTGATGGGAACACCGTGATGGTGGTCCCCGGAGCTGGGAATGCAGCCCATGGGAAGGATTGCCATGAATGGAGATTCAGGGATGATTCAAGGATTGCCTTGTTGTTTCCATGGAGGGGGACTTCAAATAAGAGGGAAGAAGAGGAAAAGCAGGACCCTGTGCCAGGGTGTCCGGCCGGGATCCGCTTCCCTCCCTGGAGCTTGGAGCAGAAGCTGAAAGCAGCTGAGATCTGGGGTCTGGTAGGCTGGTACTGCCTGGTCCCTATGGATGCTGGTCCACATAGATACCTGGTCCCATGGCTGCTGGTCCCATGGGTGCTCGTCCCCATGGATGCCTGGTCCCTGTGGATGCCTGCTCCTCAATGGGTGCCTGGTACTCATGGGTGCATGTTCCTCATGGGTGCATGGTCCCCATGGATGCTGGTCCCTGTGGATCCTCTTCCCCATGTGTGCCTGGTCCACATGGATGCTGGTCTCTGTGGATGCTGGTTCCTGTGGATGCTGGTCCCTGTGGATGCTGGTCCCCATAAGTGCCTGGTCCTCATGGATGCCTGCTCCCCCATGGGTGCTTGATAGTCATGGATATTGGTCCCCATGGATGCTGGTCCCCATGGATGCTGGTCCTCATGGATGCCTGGTCCCCCATGGGTGCCTGATCGTCATGGATGCTGGTCCCCATGGGTGCTGATCCCCAGGGTGCTGGCCCCCCAGATGCCTGGCCCCTAGGGATGTCTGGTCCCCATGGCTGCATGGTCCTGATGGATGCTGGTCCCCATGAGTGCCTCGTCCCCATGAGTGCCTGGTCCCCATGGATGCTGGTCCCTATGGATGCTGGTCCCTATGGATGCTGGTCCCCATGGATGCTGGTCCCCATGGCTGCTGGTCCCTATGGATGCTGGTCCCCATGGATGCTGGTCCCTATGGATGCTGGTCCCTATGGATGCTGGTCCCCATGGATGCTGGTCCCCATGGATGCTGGTCCCTATATAGTCTCCATGGGTGCCTGGCCATGGCTCCCCAGACCTGCTCCACTGGTGGGTCAGTGGCCTCGCAGCCAGTTCCCCTCCTGTGTGCCCATGGGTCACGGTGTGGGGAGGTCAGAGGGTCCGGTGGAGGCTCCGCATGTGATGGGAGCCCGGCCTGCGCCGGGATGTGGGGCTGGAGCAGGTCCCTGAGGGCTGCCCCACGCGTGGACAAACCTGGAGCACAAGAGGAGAGCAAACGTTGGCACCTCCATCCCGGCCCTGCTGGGACCCACATGGGGGCACCGCATGTCCCCTGTCCCCGCGCGGGCTGGCAATGGGGTGGGCAGCGCCATCGTCCCCTGCAGCACTGGGGACACTCACCGTTGTCTCAGGCCTCGAGCTCAGACGTTGTGCAGGAGCTGGGGACAGAGCACACGGGTCAGTGCTCACCCTCCTCCTGCCCCGGCATCGCCAGGGGTTCCCATAGGAGCGCATCAGGGATGCAGGAGAACGCCCAGAGCAAGAGGACCCGCGCTCCCCGGCACATCAGCCTGTGCCCACCTCCCCGCCCCATGGTGGGGACACCCACAGTGTCCCATGGGAGCCCCACGGTGCTGGTCCCTTGCCCTGGAGCAGCCCAGAGGATGCTCCATGGTCCCCCTGGGTGCAGAGACCCCCCTGCCAGGGCTGTCCCTGGCACAGCACACGCGCACCTCAAAGCAGAGCCCATGGGGAAGCCCAGGAGGAGCTTCCCCATCATCCCATGTTATAAACCTGAGCCTGGGGGGGGGTCCTGGGCCAGGGCTGCCCCATAGACCCGGTCCATGGGCATGGGTGTGCGGTAGGGGGGGGCTCTGGGGCGGTGATGCCGCTGCTCCCCACCCTTGGGTGATGCACAACCCACGGCAGGATCTCCCCATCACAGCCACGTCCTCAGGTTTATAACAGCAACGAGGGCCCAAGGGGCTGCCTTGGGCACGGTGGGAGCACAGAAGCTCTGTCCCACCACCACCCATAGCAGCCACGGGCCCCGTGGCTGAGCAGGGCACCCACAGCACTGGCGTGGTGCGGGGATGCCCAGCATGGACAGACAGACGGGAGGACGAGGGGATGGGGCTGATTTGTGACCAGGAGAGCGTCCCAGAGAAACCAACCCTGTGACAGGAAAAATCAGAGCTTGGCAGCATCCCCTTGCCTTGCATCACACGGTTTGGGCCCCTCCTGCACCCTGGACACCACCCCAACGCCGTTCAGAGCACCCAAAGCATCATCTTCCTCCCCTCTGGGGTGACCAGAGGCTGATGCTGGTGCATAAGGAATGGGAACGGGGATGCTCCCCCCGTCCCTGGGTACCAGAACCCCCTCCTCGTGTGATGCAGAGGAGATGCAGCCCCACACAGAGGGGTCCCCCCCCCGCCCCCAGCAGCCCCTGTCACTCACGGTGAGCGGGTCAGTAGCAAAAGCAGCCACACTGTTCCTCATCTCACTCTCATTGCCCCGCAGCGGGATGAGGGAGATGTTACCCAACCTGGAGTCCTGCTGCCACCGCGACGTCCTCACCTTGGAGCCCTCCGAGGGCCACAGGGCCCCCCCGTGCTGGGGACAGAGGGGACGTGGGGTGGGCAATGGCTCTTTGGTCCTCAGGGCCCCTTCCGCTGCCCTGGGATGCGGGGATTTAGGGATGCTGGGGTGCAGCAAGGGTGGCTCCGCGCTGAGCATCCTCCTGCGTACCTGCACGTGGAGGAAGGTGGCGAACCACTCACGGAGATCAGCCTGGGTGTCACAGCACAGGTACCTGTGGGGACACGGAGGCGATGGGGACACAAAGGGGGGGCTGAGTCCAACCTGGCCTTGAGCACTGCCAGGGATGGGGCAGCCACAGCTTCTCTGGGCACCCTGTGCCAGCGCCTCAGCACCCTCCCAGGGAAGAGCTTCTGCCTAAGAGCTCAGCTCAGTCTCCCCTGGGGCAGGTTAAAGCCATTCCCCTTGGCCTGGCCCTGCTGCAGGGGGTCCCCCCAGGCTGTGTCTGTGCTCAGCGCCAGCACCCGCAGTGTGGATCCCATGGGATGGGCTCTGCACCCCGTGTCCGTCCCCGCTCTCACCATTGCTGCTTCTCGTGCTTCTCGTTCTCATGGAAGACTGTGAAGCCCCAGCTGAAGGGAGAAGGAAACCATGAGCACACACACACACACATACATGTACATGAGACGTGCACATGCGTGTACACGGCTTGCTGACATGGAGGCACCCACCCGTATGGACATGAGCAGCATTTACACATCCTGCTGACACGCAGGCACAGCCCGCATACATGTGCACACACAATGCCCATGCGTTCATATGTACACACATGCACAGGCACATGCATCCACATGCGTATGCACAAGCATCATATGCACGCATATGCACACACTCACATACATGCACATTAACATATGCACACACTCACATACATGTACATTAACATGTGCACACACTCACGCACATGTACATTAACATATGCACACACACATGTACATTAACATGTGCACACACACACATGTACATTAACATATGCACACACTCACATACATGTACATTAACATGTGCACACACTCACATACATGTACATTAACATATGCACACACTCACACACATGTACATTAACATATGCACACACTCACATACATGCACATTAACATATGCACACACTCACATACATGTACATTAACATGTGCACACACTCACGCACATGTACATTAACATATGCACACACACATGTACATTAACATGTGCACACACTCACACACATGTACATTAACATGTGCACACACCCCCATACATGTACATTAACATATGCACACACTCACATACATGTGCATTAACACGTGCACACACTCACACACATGTACATTAACATATGCACGTGTGAACGTTCATGCAGACAGCGTGCTGACAGGGATGCACACACCCATATGCACACCCAGCACACTCATGCACATACCTGCATGCGCGTACAAGCTCACACGTGCACGTGCACACTGACACATGGGGACAGGGACAGGGATTGGGACGGCGACAGGGATAGGGATTGGGATAAGGACAGGGACAGGGCAGGGACAGGGATGGGGATGGCGACAGGGATGGGGATTGGGATAAGGACAGGGACAGGGCAGGGACAGGGATGGGGATGGGGATGGCGACAGGGATTGGGACGGGGCAGGGACAGGGATGGGGATGGGGATGGCGACAGGGATTGGGACGGGGCAGGGATGGGGACGGGGCAGGGATGGGGATGGGGCAGGGATGGGGATGGGGCAGGGATGGGGACGGGGCAGGGATGGGGACGGGGCAGGGATGGGGATGGGGCAGGGATGAGGATGGGGCAGGGATGGGGATGGGGCAGGGATGAGGATGGGGCAGGGATGGGGACGGGGCAGGGATGGGGAGGGGGCAGGGATGGGCACAGGGCAGGGATGGGGCCGGGATGGTGCAGGGATGGGGACGGGGCAGGGATGGGGATGGGGCAGGGATGGGGACGGGGCAGGGATGGGGCCGGGACGGGGCAGGGATGGGGATGGGGCCGGGATGGGGCAGGGATGGGGCCGGGACCCGGCTGCGCGGCGCTGCCTCTGGCCCGCAGCAGCGTCCCGCGGCTCTGCTCTGCCATCTGGTGGCCGGAGGCGCGCACAGCACCAGGCGCGTCCCCGCGGCACAACCGGCCCTGGCCCCAGCCCTGCCCCTGTGCCCAGTTCTGCCGCTGTCCCATATCCATCCCCATCCCCACCCCTGTCCCCATCACCGTCCCTGTCCCATATCCATCCCCATCCCCACCCCTGTCCCTGTCCCATATCCATCCCCATCCCCACCCCTGTCCCTGTCCCATATCCATCCCCATCCCCACCCCTGTCCCCATCACTGTCCCTGTCCTACCCCAATCTCCATCCCGTTCTTATCTCCATCCCTGTCTCCATCCCTGTTTCAATCCCCACCCGCAGCCCAAGCCCTGCTCCTGACCTGTTCCCATCCCATCTTTACCTCCATCCCCATCTCCATTCACGTCTCAATCTCCATCCCCATCCCAGTCCCAGTCCCAGTCCCTGTCCCATCCCCATCCCAGTCCCCACTCCACAGGGCACCCCGCCGCTGCTGCTCACCACGTTGGAGGCCGAAGCTTCTTCTTGATGCCCAGGTACACCCGCAGGTTCCTCACGGGCCATTCCTTCTCTGGCTTGTGGCTCTGCGGGAAGAGGCACCAGCACCACGCTGGGGACTGCCCGGCCCCGGTCCATGGCCCCACAGGGACACGGGATGGGCTCGGTGGCCTTGGCAGCAGGAGGAGCCACAAGGATGCGGGGAGGGGTCTGGGCTTGCAGAGGATGAGGCTGGCACCAGGATGGAGCAGAGAGGGCAGAGATGGTGCCAGCACCGTGGGGATGGGGATGGGAAGGGATGGGAAGGGAAGGGAAGGGAAGGGAAGGGAAGGGAAGAAGGCAAGGCAAAGCAAGGCAGGGCTCACCCTCACGTCCCTGTAGAGGTGCAGGCAGCGGTGGCTCAGGATGAAGTAGCGGTCGTGGAAGCCGGTGCTGAGCCCCAGCCCCAGCAGGTTCCTCTCCTCCCGGAACTTCATCATCCCGTGCTTGCAGTCGCCCCCTCTGCTGGCTGCAGGCACCCACTGAGCAATTCCAGCCCCCTCGGGGCAGGGGGTGCAGCCAGACCCGGCCCCAAGGGTGAGAGCAGGGGAGCCCCAGCACTGCTCCTGCCTGGCCCCCCGCCCCATCCCATCCGATCCCATTACTTCCTATCCCAACCCATCTCACCCCCATCCCATCTCCTCCCTTGGCATCCCATCTCCACCACCCTCCCATCCCCATTCCCATCCCATCCCCATCCCATCACCTTCCCATTACTTTCCTATCACCTACCCCATCCCATCCCCATCCCATCCCCTTCCCATCCCTTACCCCATCCCCTTCCCATCCCTGTCCCATCCCCATCCTATTCCCATCCCATCCCCTTCCCATCACTTACCCCATCCCACCTCCCCTCGCATCCCCACCACCCTCCCATCCCTATTCCCATCCCATCCCCATCCCCATCCCCTCACCTTCCCATTACCTTCCTATCACCTACCCCATCCCCTCCCCATCCTATCCCCTTCCCATCACTTACCCCATCCCACCTCCCCTCGCATCCCCATCTCCATCCCCATCCCATCCTCATTACCATCTCAACCCCATCACCATCCCATCTCATCCCATCCTTTTTCCCATGCACATCCCCATCCCCATCCCATCACCTTCCCATTACTTTCCTATCACCTACCCCATCCCATCCCCATCCCATCCCCTTCCCATCACTTACCCCATCCCACCTCCCCTCGCATCCCCCTCTCCATCCCCATCCCATCTTCATTACCATCTCATCCCCATCACCATCCCATCTCATCCCATCCTTTTTCCCATGCACATCCCCATCCCCATCCCATCACCTTCCCATTACTTTCCTATCACCTACCCCATCCCATCCCCATCCCACCCCCTTCCCATCGCTTACCCCATCCCACCTCCCCTTGCATCCCCATCCCATCCTCATTGCCATCTCATTGCCATCACCACCCCATCTCATCCCATCCTTTTTCCCATCCCCATTCCCATCCCTATCCCCATTCCATTCCAACACATTCCATCTCCACCCCATCCCTATCCCACCTCCACCGCATCCCCATCCCATCACCATTCCATCCCACCTGCATCCCTATCCCACCTCCACCGCATCCCCATCCCATCACCATTCCATCCCATCCCCATCCCTATCCCACCTCCACCGCATCCCCATCCCATCACCATTCCATCCCATCCCCATCCCTATCCCATCTCCATCCATCCCCATCCCCAATCCCATCCCATCCCCATCCCTATCCCATCTCCATCCATCCCCATCCCCAATCCCATCCCACCCCATCCCACCCCCTCCGTGCAGCACCGCGGCTCGCCGGCTCTCACCCAGGTAGATGAGCATGTTCTCCATGGCCATCTGCTTCTTCACCACCAGGTAGCTCTCGGTGCCCAGGCAGTGCAGGATGGGCAGGACCTTCTCTGAGTAGTGCAGGGGCCGCTCTGGCAGGCAGGGACAGGCAGGGACGGGCAGGGGTCAGGCACCATCCCCAGGGGGCCGCACGTGGGTCCCAAGCTCCTGCCTGCCCTCACTGGGTTCATTTCATGCTGCTGCCTGATTGTGCCCTGGGGAGGTGACTTCTGGTCCACGGTGGGACCGCACTTCCCATAGGGACGTGCATGAGCACGGTGGGACGGGCACCACAGGGTGTGCAGAGGGAGCCTGGGCTTGGCAAGGACCACAGCATCCCATGTTGGCTTTCGGTGGTGGGCTCAGCATCCTGCCTGGATGAGCCACCAGGACCTGAGCCTCATCCTGCTCACGCCGAGCTCTTGCTGCTGCCCATGGGCACCCTGGGGTGAGGAACCCAGCACCCCCTCCGAGCTTCACTGGTGTTTAACCCCTAAAGGTGTCCTGTGAGCCCTGGTCCCAGCCACCCGCCCGTCTGCATCATGGATGTGGTGAGCAAACTGCAGCCGCCCTCCCCGGAGGGCATGGACCTGTCCCAGCACTGCCTCATGGTGCTGCTCCCAGGGGAAACCTCTCATCCCCATCCCCATCTCCATCCCCATCCATGTCTTCAAGCCCATCTCCATCCCAATCCCCATTCATGTCTTCAAGCCCATTTCCATCCCAATCACCATCTCAATTTCCAACTCCATTCCTATCTTCAACCTCATCTTCATCTCCGTCTCCATCCCCACCTCCATCTCATCTCCATCACTATCTTCAACCCCATTTCCATCTCCATCTCACCTCTATCCCCAAATCCATTTCCATCTCTATCCCCACCCTTATCTCCAACCTCATCTGCAACTCATCCCTATCTCCATTTCCATTTCTATTTACATCCCCATCCCTATCTTAACCCCATCTTCATTCCCATCCCCACCTCCATCCCTTCTCCATCCACACACCCACCTCCACCTCCATCTCATCTCCATCACCACCTTCAACTTCGTCTCCATCTCATCTCTATCCCCAAATCCATTTCCATGTCCATCCCCATCCCTACCTCCAACCTCATCTGCAACTTATCCCTCTCTCCATTTCCATTTACATCCCCATCCCTATCTTAACCCCATCTTCATCTCCATCCCCACCTCCATCCCATCTCCATCCACATAGCCACCTCCACCTCTTTCTCATCTCCATCTTCAACCTCGTCTCCATCTCATCTCTATCCCCAAATCCATTTCCATGTCCATCCCCATCCCCATCTCCAACCTCATCTGCAACTCATCCCTATCTCCATTTCCATTTCCATCCCCATCCCTATCTTAACCCCATCTTCATCCCCATCCCCACCTCCATCCCATCTCCATCTCCATCCTCATCCCTATCTTCAACCCCATCCCCACCTCCATCCCCACCTCCATTCCCATCCCCATCCCTGTCCCCATCCTCAATCCGCCCCCCACCAACCTGCCTCCTCCCTCTCATTCACTTCGTAGCAGCTCCAATAGTCCTTCTCCTTCATGACCACCTTCCTCCTGTGCAGGATCTCGAAGGTGAGCTCCTCGGCGGTCATGGTGGCCGGGATCTGCGAGGAGGGGACAGGTCTGCACGTGCCCGGGGCCGTTCCCTGTCCCTGTCCCCTGTGCCCCCGCTCACCTTCACGTGCTGCTCTGCCTCCGTCTTCTTCTCCTCCAGGTACACGGTGCAGATGAAGTCCCCGGCTTGCTGCGGGACAAGGGGAAAGCACCTCAACCCGCAGCTCCCATGGGCAGGATGAATCCCACCGCCCGGCACCTCCAGGAGATGCTGGAGCGGGCCCCCCCGTGTGAAGAGTACCCCACGGCAGGTCCCCACGTACCTGGGTCCCGCTGGATGCTGCCTCCCGCATCTTCATGATGGCCGTGATCTCATCCTGCTGCTTCTTCATCTCTTGGTCATTGACCTGCAAGGATGAGGAGCCCTCAGGGCTGCCCAGGCCATGCTTGAGTCCCACTGCAGCACCAGATGCTGGCTCCCAGTGGAATCCCAGCAGCTCCATGCCTGGGGGTCCCCGGGGTCTGCAGGCCCATGGACCCCTTCCCCTCATCTCCAAAGCAGACAGAGGAGATTCCCCCTCCCCATCCTGACCCAAGGGGGGGCTGAACCTACATTGAAGATCTTCACGTAGTGGCTGATGAGGTCCTCCACCACCCGTCCTGCCTTGTAGTCCTTCCCATCCATCTGGAAGAGCGTGGGCCCAAAGACGATGGCCAGGTTGTGCGTGTTCATCTGGTTCTCCCCGGAGAACCGCTGCACCCTGTGGGGAGCCCCATTGAGACCCCAGCCCCAAACCCCCACAGGATCCCTCCTTCAGCCTTGCCAAGGGGAACGCTCCCAACGCCCGGATGGGATGCTTGGCTTTGGGCCACCCCCAGGTCCCTTTCCTTTCCTGGTCTGGGATGTGAGCCAAGGGATGAGGGTGCCACGGAGGAGGGGGTGATGCTCCAGAGGGGCTGGTACCGGTGCCGTACCGGAATAGGTGGTTGATAAGCGCCTTCAGCGTGGCCCGGTTCACCGTGGGCAGCGTGCCCAGGAGCCGCCGGTACTCGGTGATCTTCACCTCCTCGTCCTCCAGCGCTGGCAGGGGATGAGCAGTGAGGGGGGTGAAGGAGAGATCAGGATTCATGGCCCCAACATTCCCCCCTCCACATCCCACCTCAGAGCCTCCACTGTGGGGATGGAGCATCCCAGCAGCCGATCATCCCAGCTCCATGGGCCAGAGCACCCCAGCGCTGGAGCATCCCAGCATCATGATCCCAGAGCATCCCAGACCCACAGGGCCAGAGCACCCCAGGATCATGATGCTGGAGCATCCCAGACCCACAGGGTCAGAGCACCCCAGGGCAGGAGCATCCCAGCTCCGTAGGTTCAGAGCATCCCAGCATCATGATCCTGGAGCATCCCAGGGCTGGAGCATCCCAGCTGCATGGGTCCAGAGCATCCCAGCATCATAATGCTAGAGCATCCCAGATCCACAGGGCCAGAGTAGCCCAGGGCTGGAGACTCCCAGCTCCATGGGGCTGGAGCATCCCAGGGCTGGAGCATCCTAAGGCCAGATCATCCCAGCTTCCCAGGGCTCAAGCATCCCAGGGCTCAAGCATCTCAAGGCCATAACATCCCAGCTTCCCAGAGCTGAAGCATCCCAGTCTCATGGGGCTGGATTATCCCAGCTTCACAGGGTGGAAGCATCCCAGGGCCAGAACGTCCCAGCCTCATGTAGTTGGAGCATCCCATCTCCATGGGGCTGGAGCATCCCAGCTCCACAGCACTGTGCCTCATGGCTGTTTGCCACTGGGTCCATCCATCCCCAGTACCCATGGGGGGGGATCCCGCAGCCCAGGGCAGGGGGGTCTGGTTCATTGCCCCATCTCCTCCCCATCCAAGCTGCACGGGGTCACCCTCCAGTCCCCACCCACCCCATTTCCAACGTGTGCGTTGGGTGCCTGCCCCAACCGTGGAGGAGAGGATGCAGGATGCTGCAGCGGAACAGCCACCCTGACCTGGCCCCACAGCACCCGCAGCCCCCAGTGCTCACCAGTGGCCCGCATCCAGTCCTGGCCCCAGCGCCTGGTGAAGAGCCCGTCCCCCAGGTCCCTGAAGAACCTCTTGAGGGTGTTGGCCACGTCATCCACGTGGTGCTCGCCCTCCTTGAGGCGCACGCTGCGGGCATCCCTGCGCAGCATCTCCAGCAGGCTGGTGGTCTTGGAGTTCTGCCCGCTCTTGCGGTAGATGCCTTCGGATGTCAACCCTGGGGTAGAGCCGGTGGGGTGAGACCTGCTCCCTAGGGAACAGGGACCCTTCCTGGCTGCTGCAGGATGGAGGAGCCAAAGGCCTCCTCCATCTGGAGCCTTCTTGTAATGCTCAAAGAGGGAGGGAAACGTGTGTTATCTGCTGGAGGATCTGTTCAGGCTGGAGAGGAGAAGGCTCAGGGGGGACCTGATGGCTGCCTACAAGTGCCTGAGAGGAGGATGGAGCCAGGAGGGGCTGGGCTCTGCTCCCAAGGAACAAGGGATGGGACAAGAGGAACCGGCCTCAAGCTGCACCAGGGCAGGTTTAGATGGAGCTGAGGAACAATTCCTGCCCCAGAGGGTGCTCAGGCATTGGAAGAGGCTGCCCAGGGCAGGGCTGCAGGCACCGGCCCTGCAAGGGTTCACACCCCGTGGAGACGAGGCCTCAGTGCCATGGGGCAGTGGTGGCCATGGGGCAATGGTTGCACTGGATGGTCCTGAAGCTCCTTCCCAACCCAGCTGACTCTGTGGTGTCTATGAGGTGAGCCGGTGATGCAGGCGCATACTGCACTGGGTGATGCAGGCACATACCGCACTGGGTGATGCAGGCGCATACCGCACTGGGTGATGCAGGCACGCACCGCACTGGGTGATGCAGGCACATACCGCACTGGGTGATGCAGGCACGTACCGCACTGGGTGATGTAGTCGATGCAGCGATCCACCAGCAGTGGGACATCGGACTCAGTAAGCTGCTGCTCTGACAACGTGTCCCCGGAGCTGCCCGCAGCCTTCTGGATGGCCTGGACCCATCCCAGGAAATCCAGCTTCCTCTCCCCTTGGATGTACAGCGTCCTGTCGGGAAGCCTGGCCTCAGCGCGGGACCCAATGCGCCACCAAACCCCACTGCATGCATGGACCCCTCCCAGGGAGGCTGGAATCAGGGGCATGGGGATGGTCCTGTTGGTCCTGTCCCTCTTTTGGGGGTCCTCAGCTGCTGCAGAGAGGGCAAAGACTTCCCAAAACGAGGAATAACTTGGGAAGGGTTGGGATATTTTACTGGGAGCATCCAACCCTCCCCATCCTTTGCTCCTACCTTCGCCTCTCCACCAGCACCAGCACCTCGTTGTCCCCCTGGATGGCTGGAAGGGAAGGCGAAGAGAACATCACCCATGGGAATGCGGGGTCCCCCGGTCCCCCTCCAGCCCAAATGGGATGAGGAGCAGCTCTCCAGGGACTGGGAAGAGCTCAGGAGCCTGCATCCCGTCAGAGCATCATTCCCAACCTCCCACCAACAGCCGGCTGCCACCCATGAGGGTCTGGGGGTCCCCCCTTGTCCCCACGCTCCCTCCCAGCCCATATGGGATGAGAAGCAGCTTTGCAGGCATGGGGAAGAGCTCAGCAGAAGGAGCCTGTGCTCCACCAAAGCATCACCCCCAGTGTCCCCACAAGGATGTGGGGCTCCCCACCTTGTCCCCATGCTCCCTCCCAGCCCATATGGGATGAGAAGCAGCTTTGCAGGCATGGGGAAGAGCTCAGCAGAAGGAGCCTGTGCTCCACCAAAGCATCACCCCCAGTGTCCCCACGAGGATGTGGGGCTCCCCCCTTGTCCCCATGCTCCCTCCCAGCCCATATGGGATGAGAAGCAGCTTTGCAGGCATGGGGAAGAGCTCAGCAGAAGGAGCCTGTGCTCCACCAAAGCATCACCCCCAGTGTCCCCACGAGGATGTGGGGCTCCCCACCTTGTCCCCACGCTCCCTCCCAGCCCATATGGGATGAGAAGCAGCTTTGCAGGCATGGGGAAGAGCTCAGCAGAAGGAGCCTTTGCTCCACCAAAGCATCACCCCCAATGTCCCCACGAGGATGTGGGGCTCCCCACCTTGTCCCCACGCTCCCTCCCAGCCCATATGGGATGAGAAGCAGCTTTGCAGGGATGGGGAAGAGCTCAGCAGAAGGAGCCTGTGCTCAACCAAAGCATCACCCCCAGTGTCCCCACAAGGATGTGGGGCTCCCCCCTTGTCCCCACGCTCCCCTAGCAGAGACGGGGACCCCGCAGTGGGGCCAGGGCACGCACAGAGCTCCTGCAGCTTGCGGAGCTGGAGGGGCTCCTGCCGCTCGCTGTCCTGGAAGCGGCCGTGGAGCGTGGATCCCACCAGGGCGAACCAGCCCTCCTTGGCGCGCTCCAGGTTGAGCCCCCCCTTGTAGTGCAGGCGGCCGACGCGCTCGAAGTCCAGCGCCAGGAGCTCCTCGGCACAGGGATGGACGAAGGACTGGGATAAAGAGGAGCCCGTCAGTGCCGGAGCAGCTCCCGGCTCCATCCCGCCTCCCCCAGCCCATCGCATCCTACCTTGGCTATGGACTTGAGCCATTCCCGAGCGGAGCCGGGGTTCTCCAGCCCGAAGAGGTAGAGCCGCTCCGACTCCGTGTACACCTCAAAGGTGTTCTCGATGCTGCGGGAAGGGAGGGATGGGGAGCGTGGGCACCCGTGGGTGGTGGGAGGGTGCTGGGTGGGTGCGAGCAGCCCGTTTGCATGGGTACCCGGGGATACAGGGCGCGGATTGGGATCCCCCCACCGCGGCCATGGGCTCTCCAGCATCCCTGTGAACGCTCCACTGGGGAGCAGAGCACGTGAAGGGGCTACAAAGGGGTTGCAAAGGGGCTACAAAGGGGTTGCAAAGGGGTTGCAAAGGGATTACAAAGGGGTTGCAAAGGGGTTGCAAAGGGGTTACAAAGGGGTTGCAAAGGGGTTATAAAGGGGTTACAAAGGGGTTACAAAGGGGTTGCAAAGGGGTTACAAAGGGGTTTGCAAAGGGGTTGCAAAGGGGTTACAAAGGGGTTGCAAAGGGGTTGCAAAGGGGTTACAAAGGGGTTGCAAAGGGGTTACAAAGGGGTTGCAAAGGGGTTGCAAAGGGGTTACAAAGGGGTTGCAAAGGGGTTGCAAAGGGGTTGCAAAGGGGTTGCAAAGGGGTTGCAAAGGGGTTATAAAGGGGTTGCAAAGGGGTTGCAAAGGGGTTGCAAAGGGGTTACAAAGGGGTTACAAAGGGGTTGCAAAGGGGTTGCAAAGCGGTTACAAAGGGGTTGCAAAGCAGTTACAAAGGAGTTACAAAGGGGTTGCAAAGGGGTTGCAAAGGGGTTATAATGGGGTTGCAAAGGGGTTGCAAAGGGGTTACAAAGGGGTTGCAAAGCGGTTATAAAGGGTTTACAAAGGGGTTGAAAAGGGGTTGCAAAGGGGTTGCAAAGGGTTTACAAAGGGGTTACAAAGGGGTTGCAAAAGGGTTGCAAAGGGGTTGCAAAGGGTTTACAAAGGGGTTACAAAGGGGTTGCAAAAGGGTTGCAAAGGGGTTACAAAGGTCTTGCAAAGGGGTTGCAAAGGGGTTACAGAGTGGTTGTAAAGGGGTTACAAAGGCGTTACAAGGGGACTACAAAGGGGTTACAAAAGCATTGCAAAGTGATTGCAAAAAGGCTGCAAAGGAGTTACAAGGGGGTTGCAAAGGGACTATAAAGCAGATTACAAACAGGTTACAAAGGGGCTGCAAAGTCATTACAATTGGGTTACAAAGGGGCTATAAAGCAGCTACAAAGAGGTGGCAAAGGGATTGCAAAGGGGCTGCAGGGGCCTTGCAAAGGGGTTCCAAAGGAGTTACTAACTGGTTACAGAGGGATTGCAAATGGGTTACAAAGGGTTTGCACAGGGGTTACAGAGGGGCTGCACAAGGGTTATAAAGGGGCTGCACAAGGGTTACAAAGGGGCTGCACAGGGGTTGAAGAGGTACAAAGGGGCTACAAAGGGTTTGCACAAGGGTTACAAAGGGGCTGCACAAGGGTTACAAAGGGGCTGCACAGGGGTTTAAGACGTACAAAGGGATTACAAAGGGGCTGCACAGGGGTTACAAAGCAGCTGCAAAGGGGTTGAAGAGGTACTAAGGGGTTACAATAAGGCTGCACATGGGCTACAAAGGGTCTGCAAAGGGGTTCCAAAGCAGTTACTAAGTGGTTACAAAGGGATTGCAAAGGGGTTGCAAAGGGGCTGCAACGAGTTGAATGGTACAAAGGGGTTACAAAGGGTCCCATGGGGGTTACAAAGGGGCTGCACAAGGGTTATAAAGGGGCTGCAAAGGGGTTCCAAAGCAGTTACTAAGTGGTTACAAAGGGATTGCAAAGGCGTTACAAAGGGGCTGCAATGAGTTGAATGGTACAAAGGGGCTACAAAGGGTCCCATGGGGGTTACAAAGGGGCTGCAAAGGGGTTGAAGAGGTACAAAGGGGTTACAAAGGGGCTGCACAGGGGCTACAAAGGGTCTGCAAAAGGGTTATAAAGGGGCTGCAGAGAGTTGAACGGTACAAAGGGGTTGCACAAGGGTCACAAAGGGTCTGCAAAGGGGCTCCAAAGCAGTTACTATGTGGTTACAAAGGGTTTGCAAAGGGGTTGCAAAGGGGTTACAAAGGGGCTGCAATGAGTTGAATGGTACAAAGGGGCTACAAAGGGTCCCATGGGGGTTATAAAGGGGCTGCAAAGGGGCTCCAAAGCAGTTACTAAGTGGTAACAAAGGGTTTGCAAAGGGGTTACAAAGGGGCTGCAACGAGTTGAATGATACAAAGGGGTTACAAAGCGCCCCATGGGGGTTACAAAGGGGCTGCACAAGGGTTATAAAGGGGCTGCAAAGGGGTTCCAAAGCAGTTACTATGTGGTTACAAAGGGTTTGCAAAGGGGTTACAAAGGGGCTGCAATGAGTTGAATGGTACAAAGGGGCTACAAAGGGTCCCATGGGGGTTACAAAGGGGCTGCAAAGGGGTTGAAGAGGTACAAAGGGGTTGCAAAGGGTCTGCACAGGGGTTACAAAGGGGCTGCAAAGAGGTTGAAGAAGTACAAAGGGGTTACAAAGGGGCTGCACAGGGGCTACAAAGGGTCTGCAAAAGGGTTATAAAGGGGCTGCAGAGAGTTGAACGGTACAAAGGGGTTGCACAAGGGTCACAAAGGGTCTGCAAAGGGGCTCCAAAGCAGTTACTATGTGGTTACAAAGGGGTTGCAAAGGGGTTGCAAAGGGGTTACAAAGGGGCTGCAATGAGTTGAATGGTTCAAAGGGGCTACAAAGGGTCCCATGGGGGTTACAAAGGGGCTGCACAAGGGTTATAAAGGGGCTGCAAAGGGGCTCCAAAGCAGTTACTAAGTGGTAACAAAGGGTTTGCAAAGGGGTTACAAAGGGGCTGCAACGAGTTGAATGGTACAAAGGGGTTCCAAGGGGTCCCACGGGGGTTGCGAAGGCTCTGGGGGTGCTGTGCGTGTGCCCACGGGGGCTGCTCCTACCCGTGCGTGTGGGGCGCGTTGTGCACCAGGCACACCATCTCCTGGGCCCGGAGCTCGCCGTTGGGCGCTGCGCTGCGCTCGCTCTCGTAGTAGCTGAGGAGCCCGTCCTGCAGCGTGCACCAGCGCCGGCTGAACTCTACAACCGGGTGCAAAGGGCTCGCAAAGGGCTCGCAAAGGGCTTGCAAAGGGTTTGCAAAGGGTTTGCAAAGGGCTTGGAATGGGTTTGCAATGGGCTCGCAAAGGGTTTGCAACGGGCTTGCAATGGGCTTACAATGGGCTTGCAATGGGCTTACAATGGGCTTGCAATGGGCTCACAAAGGGCTTGGAATGGGTTTGCAAAGGGCTTGCAATGGGCTTACAATGGGCTTACATGGGGCTTGCAATGGGCTTACAATGCACTTGCAATGGACTTGCAAATGGCTTGCAATGCACTTGCAATGGGCCTACAAAGGGCTTACACAGGGCTTGCAATGGGCCTACAAAGGGGTTGCATTGGACTTGCAAATGGCTTGCAAAGGGCTTGCAATGGGCTTGCAATTGACTTGAAAAGGGCTTGCAATGGACTTGCAATTGACTTGCAAAGGGCTTGCAATGGGCTTACACAGGGCTTGCAAAGGGCTTGCAAAGGGCTTGCAATGGGCTTACAATGCACTTGCAATGGGCTTGCAAATGGCTTGCAATGCACTTGCAATGGGCCTACAAAGGGCTTACACAGGGCTTGCAATGGGCCTACAAAGGGGTTGCAATGGACTTGCAAATGGCTTGCAAAGGGCTTGCAATGGGCTTGCAATTGACTTGAAAAGGGCTTGCAATGGACTTGCAATTGACTTGCAAAGGGCTTGCAATGGGCTTACATAGGGCTTGCAAAGGGCTTGCAAAGGGCTTGCAATGGGCTTACAATGCACTTGCAATGGGCTTGCAAAGGGCTTGCAATGCGCTTGCAATGGGCTTACAAAGGGCTTGCAATGGGCTTGCAAAGGGCTTGCAATGGGCTTGCAAAGGGCTTGCAATGGGCTTTCAATGGGGCCGCTGTTCCCCAACCCCAGCACAGACCCCCCCCCGGTACCTTCCGGCCCCTTGCGCTCGGCGATGGGCTTGGCCATGGACGGGGTCTTGTAGAGGAAGCCATGGTGGGTGACAGAGGGCAGCGGAACCGAGTAGGGCCTCTCCTCGCTGCCCCCCACCTCCAGGCGAGGGGGCTCTGTGAAGGGGGGCAGAGCTCGTCATGGGGGGCTGGAGCCCCCCGAAAACCCACCCCCAACTCAACCGGGGCTCCCCAGCCCAGCCCATGAAGCAGGAACACGACAGCATCCCATGGCCGCACCAGCGTGGCACGGTTGGGGTGCAAGGAGCAGCTCCAGCCCCCCTGGCTCAAGTCAGTGGGGATCAGGGCATCCCACATCCCACATCCCTGAGCTGGGATGGGGATGCTGTGGGAAGGTGGGAACTGGGTTTTCCCCCTGGTGAGGGTCCTCCTGGGCTGTCCCAGCTCCTTGTGGATCCATAGGAGCGGAGCATCGCAGTCCTGCAGTGCCTCAGTTTCCCCTCTTTGCCTTCCAACAAGAGGCATTCCCCAAGTTCCTCCAGGAACCGGGATGCAGGGACACCCCTAAAGCACCCCCAGGTCAGAGCATGGGGCTCCCTGGAGCTCCCGGGACAGGGAAAAGGGGGAGAATCCCGCTCCGTGATCCCAGCCCTGCTCCACACAGAGCTCATCGGCCCCAGGAATTCCAGAGCCAGGAAGAGCTCAGGGGATCGGTTTTCTCCGGCTCTTCCAGACCCATTTTGTGCTGACACATCCGGAATGCAGGGCAGGGCCAGCCCCGATCCTGGGTGAATTCCAGCTCCTGCGGGCCAGGCTTGGCCGCCGAGGCGGGGAAGGGAGGTGATGGCTGGGGCAGGCGGGAACACCTCCATCCCCGCGGCTGGAATGCTCCCGGGGTGGAAGTTCACCCTGTGTCAGGGTGCGGATGGGTCCCATGGGAGCCACAGTGGGTGGAATGGGTGGGAAGGTTTAGGGAATGCTGGAGGTGGGGGACAGAGGAATGTCCCCTGGAATACCCAGGATGGTGCCTTGTCCTTCCCTGCATCCCATACAGGGTTTTGCACTGGTATCCCTGGCTGGGGTGGATCATGGGGGTGCTCCCCAAAGCCTTTTTTCCCTCTCCTGGGATGCACAGAGCAGTTGGATATCCCCACGCTGGGAAACTGCTGCGTAGGATAAAGTACACTCCTGTATCCCCAGGGATGCACCGACAGCGTTCCAGAGCCCTGCACCCATCAGGAAGCCCCAGCAGGGTTCCAGAGCCCTGCATCCCCAGGACACCCCAGCAGGGTTCCAGAGCCCTGTATCCCCAGGACACCCCAGCAGGGTTCCAGAGCCCTGCATCCCCAGGACACCCCAGCAGGGTTCCAGAGCCCTGCATCCCCAGGACACCCCAGCAGGGTTCCAGAGCCCTGCATCCCTAGGACACTCCAGCAGCGTTCCAGAGCCCTGTATCCCCAGGACACCCCAGCAGGGTTCCAGAGCCCTGCATCCCCAGGACACCCCAGCAGGGTTCCAGAGCCCTGCATCCCCCAGGACACCCCAGCAGGGTTCCAGAGCCCTGCATCCCCAGGACACCCCAGCAGGGTTCCGGAGCCCTGCATCCCCAGGATACCCCAGCAGGGTTCCAGAGCCCTCTATCCCCAGGACACCCCAGCAGGGTTCCAGAGCCCTGTATCCCCAGGACACCCCAGCAGGGTTCCAGAGCCCTGTATCCCCAGGATGCCAGAGCAGGGTTCCAGAGCCCTGTATCCCCAGGACACCCCAGCAGGGTTCCAGAGCCCTGTATCCCCAGGACACCCCAGCAGGGTTCCAGAGCCCTGCATCCCCAGGACACCCCAGCAGGGTTCCAGAGCCCTGCATCCCCAGGACACCCCAGCAGGGTTCCAGAGCCCTCTATCCCCAGGACACCCCAGCAGGGTTCCAGAGCCCTGTATCCCCAGGACACCCCAGCAGGGTTCCAGAGCCCTGCATCCCCAGGACACCCCAGCAGGGCTCCAGAGCCCTGTATCCCCAGGACACCCCAGCAGGGTTCCAGAGCCCTGTATCCCCAGGACACCCCAGCAGGGTTCCAGAGCCCTGTATCCCCAGGATGCCGGAGCAGGGTTCCAGAGCCCTGTATCCCCAGGACACCCCAGCAGGGTTCCGGAGCCCTGCATCCCCAGGATACCCCAGCAGGGTTCCAGAGCCCTGCATCCCCAGGACACCCCAGCAGGGTTCCAGAGCCCTGTATCCCCAGGACATCCCAGCAGGGTTCCAGAGCCCTGTATCCCCAGGATGCCGGAGCAGGGTTCCAGAGCCCTGTATCCCCAGGACACCCCAGCAGGGTTCCAGAGCCCTGTATCCCCAGGACACCCCAGCAGGGTTCCAGAGCCCTGTATCCCCAGGAAGCCCCAGCAGGGTTCCAGAGCCCTGCATCCCCAGGACACCCCAGCAGGGTTCCAGAGCCCTGCATCCCCAGGACACCCCAGCAGGGTTCCGGAGCCCTGCATCCCCCAGGATGCCAGAGCAGGGTTCCAGAGCCCTGCATCCCCAGGACACCCCAGCAGGGTTCCAGAGCCCTGTATCCCCAGGACACCCCAGCAGGGTTCCAGAGCCCTGTATCCCGCAGGATGCCCCAGCAAGGCTCCGGAGCCCTGCATCCCCCGGGCTACCCCTGCCGCATTCCCGGTGGATGCCCCCCGCCCCCGGGCTCAGTCCCTTTACCTGAGGACCTGTTGTGGAGCAGGAATTCCATCTGCAGGCGCTGCCCGCTCCTCTGGGCCAGGGCGAGGGGCGTGGGGCACTGGGGGTCCCCGGTGGCGCAGGACGCGGCGGCCCCGCAGAAGAGCAGCGCCTGCGTCTCCGCCAGGTCCGCGGTGGTGACGGCCGCGCACAGCGCCTGGGGAGCACCGGGAACACCGGGATCGGCCCCGGGCAGGAGCGGGAGCGGAGCCGGCGGCCGAGCGGGACAAAGGAGGGGACGGAGGGAGGGAGGGGAGGTTTGGGGCGGAGGAGCCGCTGAGGTCACGGGGCGGGAGCGGGGCAGGAACACAAACAAAGGCACATGCGGGCGGGCGGACGGGCCCGACGGGGAGGGATGCGGGGGGGAGCGGGGACGGCGGTCCCTGTGCTGGGATGGCATTGCCCGTGTTGGGATGGCGTTGTTGGGATGGCATTGCCCGTGTTGGGATGGCATTGCCTGTGCTGGGATGGCATTGCCCGTGTTGGGATGGCATTGCCTGTGCTGGGATGGCATTCCCTGTGCTGGGATGGCATTGCCTGTGCTGGGATGGCATTGTTGGGGTAGCATCGCCCCTCCTGGAATGGCATTGCCTGTGTTGGGATGGCATTGCCTGTGCTGGGATGGCATTGCCCGTGTTGGGATGGCATTGCCTGTGCTGGGACGGCATTCCCTGTGCTGGGATGGCATTGCCTGTGCTGGGATGGCATTGCCCGTGCTGGGATGGCATTGCCCGTGCTGGGATGGCATTGCCCGTGCTGGGATGGCATTGCCTGTGCTGGGATGGCATTGCCTGTGCTGGGATGGCATTCCCTGTGCTGGGATGGCATTGCCCGTGCTGGGATGGCATTCCCTGTGCTGGGATGGCATTGCCCGTGCTGGGATGGCATTCCCTGTGCTGGGATGGCATTGCCTGTGTTGGGATGGCATCGTTGGGATGGCATTGCCTGTGTTGGGATGGCATCGTTGGGATGGCATTGCCTGTGTTGGGATGGCATTGTTGGGATGGCATGGCCCGTGTTGGGATGGCATTGCCTGTGTTGGGACGGCATTGCCTGTGCTGGGATGGTATTGTTGGGATGGCATTGCCTGTGTTGGGACGGCATTGCACGTGCTGGAACGGCATTGCCCATGCTGGAACGGCATTGCCTGTGCTGGGATGATATTGTTGGGATGGCATTGCCTGTGATGGGATGGCATTGTTGGGATGGCATTGCCTGTGCTGGGATGGCATTCCCTGTGCTGGGATGGCATTGCCCGTGCTGGGACAGCATTGCCTGTGCTGGGACGGCATTGTTGGGATGGCATTGCCCGTGCTGGGATGGCATTGCCTGTGCTGGGACGGCATTCCCTGTGCTGGGATGGCATTGCCTGTGCTGGGACAGCATTCCCTGTGCTGGGATGGTATTGTTGGGATGGCATTGCCTGTGTTGGGACGGCATTGCCTGTGCTGGGACGGCATTGTTGGGATGGCATTGTTGGGATGGCATTGCCTGTGCTGGGACGGCATTCCTTGTGCTGGGATGGCATTGCCCGTGCTGGGATGGCATTCCTTGTGCTGGGATGGCATTGCCTGTGCTGGGATGGCATTCCCTGTGCTGGGATGGCATTGCCTGTGCTGGGACGGCATTCCCTGTGCTGGGATGGCTTTGCCTGTGCTGGGATGGTATTCCCTGTGCTGGGATGTCATTGCCTGTCCTGGGATGGCATTCCCTGTACCAGGACATCATTCCTTGTGCCAGTGGGGCAAAGTGGAGTGAAGCCCCAACCCAGCACCATGCCCATGGCTGGGAATGGGAATGGATGAATGGAAGTGAATTGGGTGCTGGTCACTGTAGGAGGATACTGGAATCACAGCATCCCCCTCAACACCAACCCCATTCCAGCCCAATGCTGGACCCCGATGCCATTTCCAAGCTGGGAAGAGGTGAAACCCGGCTGTGGAATGGGGAATCCCATCCCAGACTGGGCTTTCCAGCCTGGAAATGGGGCTGGTTGTGCCTCATCAGAGATGTCTCCCTGTTCCCACATCCGGCTTGTCCCTCCTGGAGAGCCCAGGGTACCCAGTGGGGATACAGGGTGTGCAATGGGGGTGATGTGATACAGACAGAGATACTGGCAGGAATAAAGGCAGGGATACAGACACGGATAAAGGCAGGGATAAGGGCAGGGATGCAGACAGGGATAAAGGCAGGGATAAGGGCATGGATACAGATAGGGATAAAGGCAGGGATACAGACAGGGATAAAGGCAGGGATAAGGGCAGGGATGCAGACAGGGATAAAGGCAGGGATAAGGGCATGGATACAGATAGGGATAAAGGCAGGGATACAGACAGGGATAAAGGCAGGGATAAGGGCAGGGATGCAGACAGGGATAAAGGCAGGGATAAGGGCATGGATACAGATAGGGATAAAGGCAGGGATACAGACAGGGATAAAGGCAGGGATACAGACAGGGATAAAGGCAGGGATACAGACAGGGATAATGGCAGGGATACAGACAGCCATACAGACAGGGATACAGGCAGGGATTCAGGCAGGGACAGAGGCAAGGACACAGTTGGGGATAAAGGCAGGGATACAGGCAAGGCTACAGACAGGGATAAAGGCAGGGATTCAAGCAGGGATACAGGCAAGGCTACAGACATGGATACAGACAGGGATACAGGTAAGGGTACAGGCAGGGATACAGACAGGGATACAGGCAGGGATACAGACAGGGATACAGACATGGATACGGACATGGATACAGACATGGATACACACAGGGATACAGACATGGATACGGACACGGATACACACAGGGATACACACAGGCTAAGAAGCCACCCAGCCCATACCCTAGGCTGAGCACCCTGCCTGGGCAGACCCTGCACCCCAGAGCAGGCTCAGGACCCCCCACCCCAAGCACCCGAGGGGACCCGCAGGCGCTGCGCCGAGGCACGGACCCTGTCGAGCTCCTCCTGGTTGCCGAAGAGCGGGTGGTAGCGCCGGTACTTGCCCTCCCGGTACTTGGCCGTCAGGAAGCGCCTCCTCTCCCGGCTCCCGCTGCCGGGGCCGATGGATTCACTGGGGGGGACGTTGGCGGCCCAGAACTGGTTGGCCACAGCGTTACCGATGTGGTGGAAGAGCTGAGGGACAAAGAGAGTGTGATGGGGGGGGGGGTGGAGAGGGGCTGGGATTGGGATGGGGTGGGATGAAGGGAGCTTAAAGCTCCTCCAGCTCCAGCCCCTGCCACGGGCAGGGACCCCTTCCACTAGAGCAGTTTGCTCCAAGCCCCTGTGTCCAACCTGGCCTTGAACACTGCCAGGGATGGGGCAGCCACAGCTTCTCTGGGCACCCTGTGCCAGCGCCTCAGCACCCTCACAGGGAAGAGCTTCTGCCTAAGAGCTCAGCTCAGTCTCCCCTCTGGCAGGTTCAAGCCATTCCCCTTGGCCTGTCCCTTGTCCCAAGCCCCTCTCCAGCTTTCCTGCAGCCCCTTCAGGCACTGGAGCTGCTCTCAGGTCTCCCCTTCAGGAGCCTTCTCTTCTCCAGGCTGCCCCAGCCCAGCTCTCTCAGCCTGGCTCCAGAGCAGAGCTGCTCCAGCCCTCGCAGCAGCTCCATGGCCTCCTCTGGCCCTGCTCCAACAGCTCCTCCAGGATTCCTCATGCAGGATGAGCCCGGCAGCAGCTCCGCTCATGGGGACATTCAGAGCCCAAAGCTGCTGCCTTGCCTGCCCAGGGAGCAGTGGGGTGCACCGGGGGGGTGACGGGTGCTGCATGGGGTGCACAGGAGCACCCACTCGCTGCAGTAACGCAGCCCCACAGCTCGACTCAGCCCAACGTCTGCAGCCCCCGCAGCCCCTGACCCCCCTTCCTGCCTGGAAAACCACATCTGGAATGCAGCATCCAGCTGCCGGCAAGGGGCGGGATGCTCCGCATCCATCCGGGGGGATTTAAAGGCCATTCCATGGCTCCTCGCCACCCCACTGCCCGGTACCAAATGATGCTCAGCCTGACATGAAGAGGTTTCTCGCTGCCTCAGCGAGCCCCTGGGGGCTCTGCCAGCATCCCTAAGCAGCAGAGCCAGGGTGGGAATGGGATGCTGGCAGCATCCTGGGTGTGGGCATCAATCCCGGAGAAGGGAGGGGATGGAGCACAGCTGGAAGCGTTTGGGGGCTCGGGGAGCAGGCGATGCCGGAGGCAGCGCGGGTGGGACTCGGGAAGGAATGCGGGATCCGAGCAGGAAAGGTCGGGAAGAGCGGGGCCAGCCAGGGTCTGCCGGCTGGGAATGCGGCTGGGAATGAATCCCGTCTGTGTCCATGCATTCCACTGCAACACTTCCTCAGCACCGGCGCACAGGCGCTGCTTGTCCTCACCACATGGGTGTCCACGGACCACAGGGATGGGGATGGAGGATGCCGAGGGGCCAAACCCACCGCAGCGTCACCCCAAAGGCTGGGGAAGTCCTCAGCCCATCACCAACGGCTCTGCCATGGGGAGGGGATTTCTGCCCCCCAAAAAGGTCGATCTGCACCAATACCTGGATCAGCTCCTCCGTCCACACCTTCCTGTCCATCTTCAAGCTCCGCACTTTGCTGATTGAAGGACCCAAGCCCCGGTGCTCCCCTGCCAGCGAGACAAAGCCATTGAGGAGCTGCTTTGGGATGGGAGAAGCCACCCCAGCGCGGTCCCCAGCCTCGGGATGCGGGCACCTGCGCATCGCTTGCAGATGACCACGCAGAGGTTGATGGAGGCCCAGTCGGGCTTGGGGGAGCCGCAGTCGGCGCAGGAGCGGTTGGGTTCCAGGGCCCAGATCCTCTCGGCCACCTCGGAGTTGGAGAGGGCCTCGGCGATGGATTGCTGCATGGCTTCCACCCACTCCTCCTTCTCCTGCTCCGAGTCGGCCGCGAAGCTGAAGGTGCGGTACGGGGTGGTGAGGTCGAAGCCGCGGCGATCCACCTCCTTCACGTTGCCCACGTTCATCTCGATGTAGGTGATGCCGATGCCGAGGCGATAGTCCTGGGGTGAGGGTGGGCAATGGGGACCCGTCCCGGAGGGACACGGGTGATGCAGGAGCTGCCGTGCCCCTTTCCCTGCCTGGCTCCCATCCCTACGGAGCATCTCCAGTGGGTTCGGTGCTCCTGGGGAGCCCCAAAGCTTGGAGCGGGTGGTGAGAAGGGGCTGCAGCCCCAGTGTCAGCAGCCTGTGGGGGCTGAGCTGTCCCCATTTAGGGGGTGGCACCCCCAGCTCACTGCTGCCCTGCTCAGTGTGTGGGTGCAAAGGGAAGGGATCCCCTTAGAGCATCCCTGGGGTGACCTATGGTGTCACCTCATCCACTGCTCAGTGTGCGGGTGCAAAAGGAAGGGACCCCCTTAGAGCATCCCTGGGGTGCCCCATGGTGTCACCTCATCCACTGCTGTGTGTGTGGGGGCAAAGGGAAGGGTCCCCCTTAGAGCATCCCTGGGGTGTCCCATGGTGTCACCTCATCCACTGCTGTGTGTGCAGGGGCAAAGGGAAGGGTCCCCCTTAGAGCATCCCTGGGGTGCCCCATGGTGTCACCTCATCCACTGCTGTGTGTGTGGGGGCAAAGGGAAGGGTCCCCCTTAGAGCATCCCTGGGGTGCCCCATGGTGTCACCTCATCCACTGCTCAGTGTGCGGGTGCAAAGGGAAGAGATCCCCTTAGAGCATCCCTGGGGTGCCCCATGGTGTCACCTCATCCACTGCTGTGTGTGTGGGGGCAAAGGGAAGGGTCCCCCTTAAAGCATCCATGGGGTGTCCCATGGTGTCACCTCATCCACTGCTGTGTGTGTGGGGGCAAAGGGAAGGGTCCCCCTTAAAGCATCCATGGGGTGTCCCATGGTGTCACCTCATCCACTGCTCAGTGTGCAGGTGCAAAGGGAAGGGTCCCCTTAGAGCATCCCTGGGGTGTCCCATGGTGTCACCTCATCCACTGCTCAGTGTGCGGGTGCAAAGGGAAGAGATCCCCTTAGAGCATCCCTGGGGTGCCCCATGGTGTCACCTCATCCACTGCTGTGTGTGCGGGGGCAAAGGGAAGGGTCCCCCTTAGAGCATCCCCGCGTTGCCCCATGGTGTCACCTCATCCCCGGCACCCACCTCAGCGTTCTTGTAGAGGAGAACTTTATCCCCAGCCACCACCACGAAGAGCTTGTGCTTGAAGCCGCGCAGCTCCAGGAAGCCGCTCCTGTCGGGCAGCTCGGCGGGGGCCCCACTGGAGCCTGGGGACCCCGATGTCCTCCTCCGCTCCTCCGCCGCCTGCTGCAGGGTCCGGATCCACTCGTTGCGCTCGGCTGCGGGGATGGGGATGGGTCAGGATCCGCGCCCGGGGCCGGGAAGCTCCCGAGCTCCTCCCGTGGGGCGCAGGGGCAGGCGGGGAGCCGGGAACCCACCATCGCTCTCAGCACGGAACACGAAGTTGCGGTTGTTGGTGATGACCTCGAACTTCTGGTCCCCGACGCTGGCGATGCGGGAGATGGAGGAGACGGGGATGAAGCGCTTGGAATAGGCGTCCTGGAGCAGGGGACAGCGGGAGAGACTGCTCAGCACCAGAGGGCCACGGAACCAGCCAGTTCAGGCACTTGTAGGCAGCCATCAGGTCCCCCCTGAGCCTTCTCTTCTCCCCACTGAACCCCCCAGGTCCCTCAGCCCTTCCCCATCACACTCGGGCTCCAGGCCCTGCACCAGCTCCATTCCCTGCCCTGTCCCTGCTCCAGCACCTCAAGGTCTCTCTTGCAGTGAGGGGCCCAGAGCTGAACACAGGATTTGAGGTTCAGCCTCACCGTGGCCTTGGGATGATGGGATGGAGACCACCCCAGGCTCCGAGCATCCCGCATCCCACCAGCATCACCCCAGCACCCACCCCCTGCTGCTCCCCGCCATACCCAGCAGGATGCGGCCCCACAGGGGCATCTCCTCTGCCACCTCCTCCCCGCAAGCCCCAGACCCCAACCCACCTTCTCACTGTCGAAATAGCACAGGTGCTCAGCATCCAGCTTCACCCAGCGCCTCTGGTAGATGTAGGACCTGGAAGGGACCCGCTGGAGGTGACCCAGCGGCTCCCCAGTGGGGCACCCGAGGACAGGGTGCAGGGAGGGCCCCACGGGACTGGGGCAGCCCCTTCCCTGCTCCCCCCATCCCCAGGCTGCACCGAGCGCCCTTGAACTGGGGTGACTCCGATGTGCTTCACGCCCCAGTTGTCAAGAGCCTGGGGCCACCTCAGCATCGATCCTGTGCTGTGTCCCCATCCTGATCCCTTGATCCTGGTTTGATCCCAGGTTTGATCCCAGTTTTAATCCATGTCCCCATCCCTCCATCCTGCACCGTGTCCCCATCCCTCCATCCTGCACCGTGTCCCCATCCCTCCATCCGGCACCGTGTCTCCATCCCCATCCCTCCATCCTGCACCGTGTCCTCATCCCCATCCCTCCATTCTGCACCATGTCCCCATCCCCATCCCTCCATCCTGCACCGTGTCCCCATCCCCATCCCTCCATCCTGCACCGTGTCTCCATCCCCATCCCTCCATCCTGCACCGTGTCCCCATCCCTCCATCCGGCACCGTGTCTCCATCCCCATCCCTCCATCCTGCACCGTGTCCCCATCCCTCCATTCTGCACCATGTCCCCATCCCCATCCCTCCATCCTGCACCGTGTCCCCATCCCCATCCCTCCATCCATCCCTCCATCCGGTCACCGTGTCCCCATCCCTCCATCCTGCACCGTGTCCCCATCCCTCCATCCTGCACCGTGTCCCCATCCCCATCCCTCCATCCTGCACCGTGTCCCCATCCCTCCATCCTGCACCGTGTCCCCATCCCTCCATCCTGCACCGTGTCCCCATCCCCATCCCTCCATCCTGCACCGTGTCCCCATCCCCATCCCTCCATCCTGCACCGTGTCCCCATCCCCATCCCTCCATCCTGCACCGTGTCCCCATCCCCATCCCTCCATCCTGCACCGTGTCCCCATCCCTCCATCCTGCACCGTGTCCCCATCCCCATCCCTCCATCCTGCACCATGTCCCCATCCCCATCCCTCCATCCTGCACCGTGTCCCCATCCTCATCCCTCCATCCTGCACCGTGTCCCCATCCCCATCCCTCCATCCGGCACCGGGTCCCAAGGGAACACATCCCAGCAGGGCTCTTCCATGGAATCCTTGTGGGATGGGGACCCAGCCCTGGGCTGCTGCCCAAGGGTCTGTTTGCTCAGGAAGGGTTTCGCCATCCCCACACGTGACACCAGAGCTCGGCCCTTCTGGAACCGGCAGCAGCCACTGGGATCAGAACCGGGATCAGGAATGGGATCAGAACCAGGATCAAAACTGGGATCAGAAATGGGATCAGAAATGGGATCAGAAATGGGATCAGAAATGGGATCAGAAATGGGATCAAAACCGGGATCAGAAATGGCATCAGAAATGGCATCAAAACTGGGATCAGAAATGGGATCAGAAATGGGATCAGAAATGGGATCAAAACTGGGATCAAAACTGGGATCAGAAATGGCATCAGAAATGGCATCAAAACTGGGATCAGAAATGGGATCAAAACCGGGATCAGAACCGGGATCAGAAATGGGATCAGAAATGGCATCAAAACTGGGATCAAAACTGGGATCAGGAATGGGATCAGAACCAGGATCAAAACTGGGATCAGAACCAGGATCAAAACCGGGATCAGAAATGGGATCAAAACCGGGATCAGAAATGGCATCAAAACTGGGATCAGAACGGGGATCAAAACCGGGATCAGAAATGGAATCTAAACCAGGATCAAAAAAGGGATCAGAAATGGGATCAAAACCGGGATCAAAACTAGGATCAAAACAGGGATCAGCACCACTCGGCTCTGCCCTGGGAGCTCATCCCTGTCCCACGGGACACAGACACCCCCAGCCCCGCTCTGACCTCCCATTGCTTTTACATGCTGAGGGGTTGGGGTCCCGGTTTGCCTCCCACTGCCTCCCCCAGGCTCCCATCAGCAGCTTCCCAGGGACTTCCCGGTGCTTCCACTTCCCCAGCAGCCCCACTGCCACACTGCAAGCAGCCTGAGCTTCCTCCTCCTGCTCCTCCTCCTGCTGCTCCTCCTCTTCCTCCTCCTCCTCCTGCTCCTTCTTCTCCTCCTCCTCCTGCTCCTCCTGCTCCTCTTCCTCCTCCTCCTCCTCCTGCTCCTCCTGCTCCTCCTCCTCCTCTTCCTCCTCCTCCTCCTCCTTCTCCTTCTTCTCCTCCTCCTCCTCCTGCTCCTTCTTCTTCTCTTTCTTCTCCTCCTCCTCCTCCTTCTCCTCCTCTTCCTCCTCCTCCCCCGTCTGCAGCCCCAGTGCAGCAGCTCCCAAACACCCTTCCCATCTCCTGTTTAGGTTTTGCTCCCAGCTGGAGCAGGGGCTCTTTAAGCAGGTTCCCTGATGGGACGGAAGTGAGCGTGACTGTGCTCACTCTGTGCACTGGCGCACTGG